TCTACCTCACTTCGTGGGTTCCTGCGACCGATGTTGAGTGATATAGGATATACTGTCTATACCCATTAGCATGTCCATACTTTTTTTATGTTGGTTTCAAATGGAAGTTGCATGTGTATTTTATATGTGCACAATAGATGGATAGCTACAGTAGTTTCATCTGGTCCGGTTGAAAATCCAAATCCTCTCACTAGTGCTCGAACGAAGACCTTGTTATGGTGAGCCAAGATCCAATCACGGCCGATCCGACAGCCAACTGCGGCGATTCTAAGCTCAATCAAAGAGCCATGGCTTACAGCCGAGAAGGGCCCCATTTTCCGGCCGGCAGATGGAGCTGCATATGAATTAAGACGGGCTCGTCCGCTTCAGTCTCGGAGTATTATGAAATGATTCATAGTTTTGCGTGATCGATTGCGCTCCTCTCATTTTTATTTCAAGAGGAGGAACAGCAATTTGAAGAGTATCACTTGTGTAGTTAGTCTTTTTAGATAGTTGCGCTTTTAGGGTATAGGATCAAATAGAGGGGCGAAGGGGTGGGCGGTCCGAGGGAGAGATAACAACAGAATGTGAGGCGCAGAGTGGAGGCAAGAAGCCGAGGATGAGATGACTGATAATTTGCTATTATATTCTTGCTCGATCAAATTCGCGCTTTTCGTCTGTTCAGGTCGCCGTTCGCGACCGCAATTGTTTCTGAAGAGAGAAAACAGCTTCAAAAGCCTGAACAGATACCTCTTGAATCAGCCTCGTCTCACCAAAGCAGGAATTCGTGACAGGACATCTCGCTTGAGCCAAAGACAGCCTCGCAAGCGCCTATTCCAGCACAATTCCCTGATTTGGTAAGGAAGGCTGAATCGAGGAGCGCATTCGTTTAGACCTTCAAGCTGTGTTCCCGCTTCAAAAGCCTATATGGAAATCCCACTTCAGTAATCTGTTAAAAATGACATGCTCACAAAATTGCCCAAACACTCCTTCAAAGGCAGTGGCTCGGCAAATCTTCGACCCTGAAGGTTTTTTCTTCACGTGGGATAAATCGACGCGCTGATCTCGAAAATACACCTTGAAACTTACGAAAATGTCGAGAACCAACACTTTCCAGGGGTCTTCTTTTTAAATTTGGAGGAGTGGAACATTCCCAGCCATGGTTAGAGACGCATAGTCGTTGCAGGACCCTCATGTTCATAGCATTGCGGCATGCTGGCTCTGACAGTTGGAGTGGGATTGTAAGCTCGTCCGAGCGCGTGTAGGAATGGCTTGGGCGCACGAGTTTAAGGGCACTTTTCTAGGCAGGTGCAGCGTATTGTGCGCCTGGACCTGCTCTTTTCTTATGTTTGGCATACAAGCAACCCTCCATATCAAAATTTCGAAATGTCCGAAATTTGACTAAGTGAGATTTGAGTGCCTGAGTGCACTGCCAGTGAGTGCCTTTAGAGGCAGTGGCTCGGCAAATCTCACTTAGTTAAATTTGCGCTTACCCGGGGTTATTCAATATGCTGATCCCCAAAATCCACTTTTGAAAGCTTGAAAACGGCGAAAATGAGCGTTTTTAATGCCTTTCCATTTAATATTGGACGATGGAGCAAGGCTAATGACGCTAAATCGTTGCAGGACCCAATGGTTATAGCCTTGCGGCGGGCAGCCTCCAATGGTGAGAAGGAAATTGCCAACTCGTTCGGATGTGTGTAAGATTGGCCTGCGCGTGTAAGTTTGAGAGCAATTATCTCGGCGGGGAAAGCATGCTGTGCAACTGGGATTGCACTGTTTTCCTACTTGAGCGATAAGGATCCTACCGCGTTAAAATCCTGAGTTGTTGGATTTTGCCCATCCACTGCTTTTAAGTCTCTATGAGTTGAAGGGCACAATAAAAATGTTCCTTACAGCTTGGTAACGTAACATCATGCTTTTGAGGTACTAGCTGGTTCTCCCGGTCTCGTCCGGGTCATGGCTTCAAGCTGATCCGGCACGATGTCCTTACTCATCTTGGAGCATGAGGAGAAAAGCATGTCGTCCTTTTCTTGTGCGACAACTCCAACTTTCTCCTATCCTAAAACCTGCTTGCTCCAGCTTCCCCCCCCCCTCGTTTCCCATCTAGTTATTATGCTGCGCTGCAAGGGGCTACTAAGTCAAAGTAACTCAGCCGCTATAAGCTCGTCTTGAATTACGCATCCTTGCCACCGTGGAAATAGAATGAATACTGCCGTTGTTGTTTACGCGAAATCATGGAAATGGCTTGTTAACGGATTTCAGGAATGTTTATGTCAAATGTCAATAAATCAATAGAATGGCCCAGGGAATGACCGCAAAAAGTAGCTTTAACACGTTTCGGACCGCGAAATCGCGCGCGGCGAAAAAGAGGGTACTTTCAGCCGTTAGCCAACAAAGGGACCTTAATTCGCAGATTGGGTGCTACATCAGTGATCAGCATGTCAGATAAGATCCGTACCCAGAGTTCTGAGTGAATTCGAATTGTTTGAATTTTGTCATCTGAGAAGGACTTCTGTGCTTTCTTGAAAGATAGGTACAAGAACTCAGTTTCTAATTGTATCCAAAAGTATCTATGTTGTACACGATACACATCATTAGTGGAACTACGGTTTTTCTCTTTGTATTCGAAGCTAGGAAAAGTTGCGACGTCGCACGCGTCGTTCGCATTGCCGCACTTTGTTGCAACTGATGTTCGATTTGTCCTCATATCTCCTGAACAAATATCAATGGCACAGCTCCAAAGACCCTTTCGAAAAGGAGGAGCTTAGGCCTTTGACTTGATAACCTTGGACAAAAAGAAAACCTCCTGTAAAGTCGGAAAGATCCTTCAAAGGCGCGTGCTGCACCATGTGCAGCACCGGTCCGAAACGTGTTAAACAACCGCCGGGTCGAAGACATATGCATGCAAAGTTCCAGCTAAATCGGTTCGTCTGCAAGCGTTCTTATAACGACCAAAGAACACAAGTACGCTGTTTGAGTTTTGTATGATACCAATGCTTCAACTCTGCTTCGCAGAAGCTCGCACTGGCTCCTCTATCTACAATATATGTCTTTCTCTTGCTCCACTATGTTGCTCTGAAACTCACCATGCTATGCGGACTATCATGAACGAATTGTAAACAATTACTCATTCCATGAACTTTTGCATGTAGGAGCGGCATACTGACAAGGAAACGATACTCAATGTCCGTGGCTTTTTGAGACGAGATGTATACCATTACACTCGTTTTCGAACGCTGATTCCGAATCTGTCTTCCGTTTCTGCTAATCGTTTCTCTGAAAGAAGTTATGAAGGAATTTCGATCCAAGTTTGCCCGCTTAAGGGAAATATGGTCATTGGAACGGCCTCCCGCGACCACTTTCTGGTCTAATAATTAGTGCGATAGCCTCATAAGTTGATGTAGGTTCAAATTCTTTGCGTTTTTACTTTTGCATTACTTTTGCCTCAATTGAGCTTGTTCGAGAAAGCTTTACTCGAATTATGACCATTGAATACATTTTAGCGTGAACAGTAGTCTTTTTTTTTAAATTCCACATTTTTTCGAGAGTAAGAGCGTTCACTTTACTTGAGGATGTGAAAGAAGATTAATTGAGGCAACGCAAAACTAAAAAACACAAAAGGACTCAAACCTAGACCTGCATCAGCTCATGAGGCTACCGCACTAACCACTAGACCACGGCGCACCTTTGGCATTCGGTGCTCCGACATATTTTCACTGGGCAGCCAAACTCCGCGCAATCCATGATAACATCTTTGAAGCGATTAGCAGAAAGGGAAGTAGGATTTGGAATCACGGTTCCAAGGCGAGTGTAATGGTATACATCTCATTTCAAAAGGCCACGGACACCGAGTATCGTTCCCTTGTGAGAAGAGAGAATCTTTGCGGAGAACATTTGAAAAAAATTTCGGTCAGTTATTGAAGGTCGCGTAGTTTCCACAGACGAGTTGCTTCCGTCACCTACATTTCTGAGCAGAAATTTTCGCAAATGATTAGATGGAAACTTAACAAGTTGATGATCTACTTTACTCCTTTTTGGCGCCGATATTGCGTAAAAATAAACATTTGGCTCATTTTTGAACTTAACTCTATAGTCTGCTCATTTACTTGTTAAGCAAATCACAACCAACTTCGCAAAAGTATAATCAGCGACCCACATTGGTCGGCCAACAGTCGCATGGACCCGTTTGACGCGCACCTTTTTTGGGTTCCAATCATAGGATCAGCTTATGTTTTTGTATTGTTTGCCTACTCAGACAATCGCCGGGGGCAGGCGGGCACTGGAAAAATAGATTGCTGATCTCTCGCACCCCGCTCGCGGATTTTTTGGAAAGCAATCAGGACTTTTTGGAAGACCGCTTGCTGAGTTCTCGATTCCTCAGAGATTCAGCAATATATCTGCAAAAGATAAGAGCGAAGAAAAATTCAAGAGGCGGTCTCTCAAAAATCCGCTGACTCAGCAAGCGGTCTTCCGAAAAGTCCTGATTGCTTTGCAAAAAATCCGCGAGCGGGGTGCGAGAAATCAGCAATCTATTTTTCCGGTGCCCGCCTGCCCCCAGCGATTGTCTGAGTACATGCTGATAGGGTGCTATGACCAAAATTTCAGCTGAAGACCTTGCCTACAACACGCTCTATGAACTCGTAACAGGCAGACATAAACACACACAGGCAAACAGAGAGACACGCGCTTTATTATAAGTCACTAGTTGGCAAACCCGGCTCCGCCCGGCCCTGTCGATAACATATTTGTAATCAGCATGCTTGATTACCCCCCTGTGCCAACTCCCAGCCCCGTAGCTCAAATTTTGTAAAAAATCGATAAAATCGATATCGATCGATAACGTAAGGTAGCCTATGACACGCTCCCTGCCCCGAAGTGTATGTGTGCCAAGTTTGGTCCAAATCGGTTCAGAAATAAAAATTTCTATTCCGCACATACGTACAGACAGACATACAGACAGACATTCAGCTTTATAGATAAGAAGATGATAGATTAGTTAATACCACTTTTGAACCCACTTGTAGAGGAAATTGTCCGTGCACTGTACTTTGATGCCAATTCGATTTGGAAGATTGTTGGTAACGCGCAGCCTCTGAAAACTCTTGTGATTCATGTATCAAATGAAGGACTCGCTTCAGAAGTAAGCGAAATTCAGCATGCGGCTAATAAAAACCGCAAAGAATGATTGGTACCTGGTCACCCCCAACCTTGTTGAAAATGAGCTTCACTTTGTCAAACTTCAAGCATGGTTCTGAATTATTAACAGAAGTTTGAGGTTAACACGATTACGTAGTGTGCCTACTTCCAGCAGGAGCACAAGGTGTGAAGTAAGCCAGTATTTCATTCGGATTCTCTTCAACCTGCTGTAAATGTGTGAATTAGATAGAGAAAGGTTAAAAGCAATGGCTCGGCAAATCCTGTACTCAGAAAATTCTCGAATTGGAATAATCCAATGAGGCGATTCCGACGAAAGTGGCACAGTATCCAAAGCCCTTGATTTGAGTTTGGACGATTGGGACGTCCCCAAAGGTTGGAGGCGCGAAGTAGTCGGCAGGGTCTTTATGGCTATAACATGGCGGCACGCACCTCCAATAGTGAAAGGAAATCGACTCGTCCAAGCGCGCATAAAATGGCTTGCCGTACCCGGCTTGGAAGACAGTTTTTCAGCGAGAAAGGCGCTATGCAAAAGGCCATACTTTGTTTTTTACATTTCGGAGTAAGCCAGACATCGGAATAATGAATGTTTTGGTTTGCCGAGCAACTGCCTTCAAGAGAGTGATGAGCGTCGTATCAGCAAAAAATACCTGCTTAATTGTAAGTTTGGAAACTGGCAGATATGGGCTAGCAAACAACTCTTTAAGATGCCGCTCTACTCTGGCTGTCTAAAAGTTATTTTTGAACATTGTTTAAGATTTTATCTGGCTCAAGTTTCTAAAATGTGATTTGCACATCAGCATCATTATCAGTGTAGCGTTAACCATCTTTCTCACTCAATCTGTGCACAGATCGGTTACACTTTCTACAAGGGAGGGGGAGAAGAACGGTTCAAAGAATACCGTCACAGCTGGCTTCTACTTATTGATAGTTTTCAGAGTCATCGAACTATCTAGAATCACGGCTATAACTCTGGGAGTGTTTGAGCCATTGAAGCACTGTCCGCCCAAATAGGCGGCTGATGAGATTCTGATGCAGCACAATAGGGAGACCATTAATGTAACCGCCAAACTCGCGCCGCTAGAGGCGTATTTTCAAGCGAGAAGATGTTCCAGAAGGTGGATGCTGTTGGGATCGCCACGCTCGTCAAGTTGGCGATACAAAGTTGAAGAGTCCAAAATCGCACTCAAACTCAGTACTCAAAATAGTACACCACGACTATGGGCGTGACGAATTCAACAGCTTCTACCTTTTGGAGCAGTTTTTTGGCCCCGGAATATATCATCTCTATAGGCGGGACTTGCACAGTTTCATATGGCCTCGCTATTATCTTAAAAACCTCAATTTAGGTATACGGTGTTTTGCGGGCGAGATACTGTTTTAGATAAGGAAATAGACGAACCACAAACTCGTACAGTAGGCTACCAGTATACCTTGACGACCGCTTTTTCGATGTTAAATATGATTACGTCATTGAAAATACTCAAAAATTCTTGCAAGTGGTTGTCAGAATCAGAAATCAGCATGCACTTTTTCAGGATTTTTATTAATTTATTTCACAGCCACTTTGTACGCTGGAAGTTCCTACAGTAGGATTACACTAAAGAAGGTAGATCTTTCACACCATGAATCTAGGTTTATCAATGATAGAAACAGTACATTGGGAGCGGCAAAGAAATTGAAACAAGAAATATATTAACAACCAAATGATGTGCAAATTTTTTTTGATACAGTCGGTATTGATATGGAATGTGTAACTATTTGAATACTTGTGAGAATTTTGCGTCCAGCCTACAATCGCAGAACAAAACGATCTGAAAAGATGACCCCTGCATGTATTAGGGTGCCTCATAATTTTTTATCGTTTTATCACAACTGCCGTATTTTTGCATCTTCCCTTTATCTTATGTGGCTTGAGTAATCATTCGACAGGTCAAAGCAAGCTCTACAAGATGTCAAAAAGTCTGCCCAACTCGTATTCCACGTGTTTTGGGCTGAAATGTGATAGTAGTCGAAAACGAACTTTTCTGTTAAAAATCGTATCTCCGCTCCAAATCATCTAAAAAATTCCCCATTTATCCTAGCATATGCTTGATAGATCGCGTATTTAATGTACACTTTCCGAATTTATTCCATGGCTAGAAATAAAGAAAGAAATGAGTGATGTGGTATGGCAAACTCCGCCCCTAAACGTCCTCAGCTCCTCCCACTCATGTGATCACATTAACATACAACAGAATTACAATCATGTATTTGTATACTTTGTAGGTGCTTCAGTTCTTAAATGCTAATGTTTAGGGTAAAAACGGTAAAAAATTATGAGGCACCCTAATATATACGTTTCAATCTCAACATGGTTGACCACAGATGTCAAGTATACTTGGGTAAATTCGAAATTTTTCATCGAATGAATGAAAATGAAAATTTTGAATAAACGAATATGGAATGAATTCGAAAATAGAAAATCTCGAATAAACGATTATCGAATAAATTCGAGATATAAAAATTCTCGAATGAATGAATTCCGAGTAAAATCGGAAAAATTAAAAACATCGAATGAATGAATATCGAATATATTCGGACAGTGGAAGTCGAATTCGAATAAATATTCGAATGATTTATCGAATAACTAGAGCAACTATATCTCAAACTTGCTGACATATCCGGCTAAAGTTCATAATCAGCACCCTCATATCCTCTATGCCAACTCTTAGCTCAAGATTTTCCAAAAATCGCGTAATCAATAAAATCGATAATATTTTTGATCAGCACCCTCATTTACCCCCCCCCCCCGTACCAACTCCCGGCCTCATAGCTCAAGGCTTTCCAAAAATCGATGAAAGCATCAAAGTAAATGTTTATTCATAATTAACTCCCTCATTTACCCCTTGTACCAACTTCCAGCCCGTAGCTCAATATTCTCCGAAAATCGTTAAAATCGATAAGTTGAATTTTTTTCCATAATCAGCACCAGCACCGAAATTCAAAAAAGAAGATCTTGCAGCTTGGTGTATGTATCTAACTATAGGCTGCTGCATGACGAAGGCGCAATATCTTTGGGCGCGGACGCGGCTTTATTAGTCGCAGAGCGCATGAGGCGCAGGATTTGCAACGGTGAAGATACGCGCGCGAAACGTTCGCACCCGCTCACCTAATGCTACTTTTGCGCCTTCGTCATGCAGTAGCCTTTATTTCAGCTAAAAGATCTGTTTTGACTCATAGCGCTAAGTGTGCTATCTTTTGAAGCAGTAACGGCGGCCACATTATACTTGTATGCCACAAATGCTACGATACATTGCCTGTTTATCGGATACTTTCGTCTTGTGTAGTATAAGTTAGTCGTGAACAAAGGCATGTGGTTTACTCCGCAAAGCGAGCAAGAATGCCCCTATAGCCCCAAGCGTACTGCAGGCATTTCAGTAGCGACGCGGTTTGGCAATAGTCAAATTGTCCAATACTTACGTAGGCGGATTCTAGAAGTACAGAAAGCAGGGTATTTATCTATTCAGAAAGTTGTACACGCTATACATTTGTGGTAAGCTGGCGTTACATTTGTAGACGTCTTGTAACTTTCAAGTCTCGTACGACTATCGCGTCAGGGCACGGCACAGGTGGCTTAGCAAGCAAGTTGGATATCGTTTTTGGGGAAAAAGCAAAGGGGATATCGTTTTTGGGGAAGAGAATAACTTGTCTTTCGATTTGCGGCCGGCACGCTGCCGGCATGCCGCTAGCAAATAAACAAAAGGTTTGTTTACAGCGAAGTGAAGATGGAATGACACCAAAATAGGTGTGTAGATGGGCAATGGGGAGTTAGAACTAAATATGAAAAATTATGAAAAAATTATGTGAACTAAAAGCGTGCTCAACTTTTTTCGGAGTTAGGTGGCTTTCAAGCCACCTGGATAGCCACCTGAGGTGGCTTAGGAAAGAAAAAGTCATAAATTTTTCCTCCCTCACATAATTTTTCCACTTTCTTTAAATACTTTTCATCTACATCCCGAACCCTACAAACTGGTTCCTAAACCGCCTCAAACCCCCTTCTCCCCGCTTAGTTATAGCCCCTTGAAGAATTTGAATGGCCGCGGAAAAGCTGCTCTAGACGCGAATTGCTGCACGATGGATACATCATGCCGCCATTCCGGAGAATATGAATATAATTGCTTTGTTCGATGATTCTTTTTCGTTTTTTTCTGCTGTTGCTTTGTTCCGTTCCTTTTCAGTATTCTTCTTCGAATATTTCGTGGCGGATGTCGTAAATTCATTGAACTCGAAAGGGACTTCATTTTTTGCAATTTCGGGACGCCCTCGTGCCGAGCCCTGGTTTAGGGTCAAAGGGACTTCGTAAAAATTTGCAAAAGTCAAGGGGGACTTCGTTTTTTGCATTTTCAACTAGCCACCTCGTGCCGAACCCTGTATCGCGTGCAGCATGTGCGGGACCTGTCATGATCAAAGCTCGCATTTCGCAATGTGGACCATCTTCGTCCGACCTAAGCTTTACCATAGTTGATAGGCTGATAGCTCCAGTGGCCGTAATCATCATTGATATCTTAGGGTAAAATCAACTTCCAGGTACTTTTATCACTTATTATCAGCAAGTACCCGTATTCACAAAGTACCTTGAGGTAAATTCTCAGTGTAATTTTGCTGATAATGAGTGATAAAAGTACCTGGTGGTAGAATTTACCTCAAGGTATTGATGATGAATACGGCCAAAGGTGTTGGGGTGCCTGCAAGCCTCCGTGAGTCTTGGATGCACTGTGATAACAGAACTATCCTGTACTATCTACTAAAGAAAATTTTATTGCGAGGAGATATGACAGCAAAATCCAGCAACCATCTAATTCTCCACCACAGCTGCACTGTCCTTTACTCAAAATACATCATTTCGCGAAAAATCTCTAAGGTAAAGAATAGAGGCAGTTGTGCAATATGACTTTTACAAGCAAGAGCGCTCACTAGTGTGGAACTTTGCGTACCAAATGCATGAGTAATGCAAAGGAAGAGGAACAGGCACGTCAACTCATTTCCAGTATGTGAACTCGGAACATGAGCTTAAATTTGATAGAATTTTTGCCGACTTGGTGCCAATAGCAGTGCGAATTATCTTATTGATCGAAAATACAATCAATCAAAATCCACACCTAATTTTTTTACCGTCAGTAGTTGGAGGAATGCAGTTTATAAAGTTCAAAGGTGATCCCAGCTGCAAAAAGATGCATTATCGAGTTTTGCAACAAAAAAAAAACGCAGACGAAGCGAGCTGTTACTCAGCGGTTGGCTCTGCAGCAAACTCGAATAATCTGGATACGGAGTTTATTCGAATACGACTTTGAACGAACATTCGAAACATTCGAATAAAATCTATTCAAAACCTCGTTTTTTTAATATTCGAGTTTCGAATTTCATTCGAAACCTCGTTTCTCATTTACTCGAGTTTCAATTCTTCGAAAATTACTATTCGAATATTATTTGAAAATTGAAGAACTCCGAATGTCGAATTTCGAATGCGAATATATTCGAATGTTTTATTCGAATGATGGAATTTATATTCGATTCGGATCCAAGTATAATGTCAAGTATCAAGTAAATCACTTCATTTATTCAGTGACAATACCTTTTCGCTTTAAATCTTTTCCATTCTTGCAAAGGAAGGATTGCTAGGCATACCGGTGTTACAAGGATGTTGATCTTGTCCGGTTTTATTGGTGTTTTGAATCGTCTAACACCGATATTGACTGTCTCAAATGGTTGAATACTTGTCATCGGTGGTGTAATTCTGGCACTTTCACAAGTTATTGTGATTTTACTGCTATAAGCTTACTGGAACAAAGTATTGTCAGAGCAGCGAATCTTCACAGCATGTATAGATTCAGTTTTGTTGAGGATATGTATCTGCTGGAAAACACATCAATGGAACAGTGCAGCTGAACAATCGTTGGTCTATTAAGTCACCTTTCTTCCGCCATAGTTTTGCCATAACATGTCGTTTTTATTGGATTTTATACCTTGTGCTGAAATTGCTTTTTGCATACTGTATGTTTCTCATCGTTTTTCAAAATCAAACTGCTGTATTTTGATACAGCAAATAAGGGAAAGATATTCGTAGTTCCAGGACAGTAAACGTACCATTTATTTCCACCTGCAGGTCGCTTCGCTCCTCCTCCGAAGCTACTTTTGTTCTCTTACCTTAGATAGAAATATCACTCGTTTGAAGTACATTTTGCGTGGTTTTCTATTGAAAAGATCAGTTGCTTCAAATATATGCTAACAAAACTACGCCAAATTTGCGCACACTCATGGGTATTGCTAACTTCTCGTCCCCTACACTTTCAGTTTTCGAGAACTTTCAAGCCTTATTTAACTCACTTATAGGGAAAATATTAAAAAGTTTCTGCACTACCTCTCAGCTAGCACATGAACGAGAAATATAATCTTTGAAGTTTCAGTCACGCGTTCTACGCTGTATCCAGTGGTATGCAGATTGTTAGGAATTCATCTCGACTTTTGACGGTTTTTTTGTAAGGTAGCAGTGATTGTTCTGAATGGTCTGGATAGCTGAATGTAACATCGAAATCTTGATAGTACTGCGCAGACCATATACCATTAGATAAATTCACGAGTAAATAACCTTTTTCCAGCAACTGACTATGTGTGTCTTCTCCACATGTTTATGGATTTTCGACCTGGTGTTCATAAATTCGGGTCATGTGCCCTCCTAATAGAAATTTACAACCTGAAGTACGAATAGGCTTGGAAAAAGATTGATTGTTAGCAACCACTTAGTTTCAGCGGCTTTTGCAAAACTTAAAGGCAGTGTCTCATCAAAATTGATTGCATGCAACCCTTTTCAACCCCATCTGACCAAGTCCAGATCAAAATGGCATGAAATCTACAGAAACCCGCCATTCTTTGAAAGCTCCATGGAAGCTACGCGGACGAGCTGTGCCTTGCTACCTTAGCTTCCGCCATAGTGGCAACAACGTTGGGCGTTTGGCTATTTAGGGGGCCCTTCAACAAAGTATGTCGATCCCCGCGCTAACCTAATTTTGGTGAGACATTGATTTATAGTATAATATTGTAGGACTAACTTCAGTAGATTTACACTGGAAAGCGGGTCTACTGCTTCTCATTACTGTAAAATGTAAGATTCGAAAAGATTTCGAGGCCTTGGACATACAGGGTTCCCCAGAAATGAAGATTTGAGCGCTGGTAGCGGAAGACATTTGGAAGGCGCGTTAGTCGATGGCCACTAACTAATAAGGGAGCGTCACGAAATAGAAGTGGCCCAACTCTACCCACTGCATGCCATTTGTGAGAGCTTGGAACACTGATTTCAAATCTATATTTCTTATCTGCAGAGCGCCTTTGGAACGGAAGTTATGAGCATTTTTGAGTAAAGAAAATGAACTAATGGTAGGGATAATATTAATTATTACACCCTCTCTAAATCTTAAGTGAAGCAGCGACAGTCAGGGCACTTCATACAATAGTCCTTGTAGATCAGTCATCCTACGTCTAAAAAGGCTGTAACAATTGATTATAAGCTCAACTATACTTCATTTTTTTTGCCCTCCATAATGCTCATAATATCGTTTCTAATGAGCTGGATATGGAAAGAAGCAGATTTGGAATCAGCGCTTCAAACTCTCATTACAGTATGCAGCTTGTAATGATAAGCCACTTCGACTTTGTGACACTCCCTTGTAAGAAAGGCAGAGAAAAGGTCAAACCCACTATACTCCTTTCAGACTTCAACTACGTGGTCCTTTGCTGCATTTTTCGATGTAATGGCAGACTTTCGAAGTTTAGATTCCTTGCTTTTGTAAAGTACGTATCATCCGGTTATGATAAGTGCTAGACCGCGCGCTTTTCGACATAAACCTCTGATTTTATATGAGAGATTTCGCTTAACCATAATTTCTTGTCAGAACTATGAGAAGTATAGCTTTGAGGCGGTTTTCTAAATCACCGAAGAAAATCTGAGAATTTTGTTATCATATCAAAAATAGTAACAGAGGATTACTAGTTGATTCCGGAAGTACTAAACCAATGTCGAACTTTTTCCTGCTTTTTCTGAATAGTGACAACCGATCAATACGCGCCATTCGACTATCTCTCCCACACACTGTCGGCAGTTGTGTATCATTAGTAACTTGGGCACTACCATGGATCATGCCCGTCCTCCTACTGATGCAATCCTACTGGACGCGAAGTACACAATGAACACAAATAGCATACCGATATTCCTGGAATTAAGGCCTAAGCCCTTAGGCCAGTACTCCAGTCAACACTACGACTCTTAAGGTGCCACATTTGTCCAGAACTTCAAACCAACACATAAACAATTCAATACAATGGGCAGAGAACACGCCGGCCAAGATGTTACCTAAGGGCCGGTAGAAAGAAAACCCCTCGGGGGTGCTCCCCTGCCCTGTGGCAAGCAAGGAGCATGCAACCGGTTACCTCGAGACGGCAGGCCAGTCCTTCTTGCGTGGTGAGGGTCTTCGCGTGAGCTGAGGAACAGCGCTACTCGATCGATCGCTAGTTGTAGTGAGTTGAAGTCGACCGAGTAGACACTGTGACGTACGTAACCTTATGAAGGTAAGTTGCTGCATAAGTAGCGAGCGAGAGAGCGAGGCAGCGCGCAAGGACTGGCCTTTTGGGATCCCTTCGCGCACAAGCAGCGGACTCCATAAGGAAGGCATAATCCGCGACACTATGGATATAAGATTTGCTATGTACAATCAGCGGATATAAAAATCCCAACGCTTTTCTGAAATAGCACCCCATTGCAAATGACAAAGCGCTGGAATTCTACCGCAATGCTGCAGTAACAATAAATTGAATCTTGAAGGAAACATCTTCATTTTGTAAAAATCTAAGCTGAAGGCAGCATCACAAATTGTTACATGAAGATCCACAAAACCTCATTAGATAAAGTACACGTAAGCAATTGAGTAAAGCAAGTGAGTACTCAATACTTTTTGACACCCTGCATTTTATGTTTAGAATTCCACAAAGTGTGCTCATGTAGAGCAAATTTGTGGAAATATGTTCATTCGATCCTAATCGTGAATTTTTTCTGAATGCCACAACTCATAGATGTTTTGTAGTAGAAAATTGAAATTAGAAGCTCAGTGTGACCTGCAGTAAATGAAACTAATTACAATGCAACGAACCTCTGTCTACATAAGTTTACGAAAATATAGTACATGACTGTTTTTTTACAAAGACTAATTTTTTTGAAAAGTTCAAAATTGAATAAAAGTGCTACTACAATACGCTAATGCGGTCTTGTTTGTGCCAAGTAACTAAAAGATATGCATAATAAAAAAACTGTACTTCTCCGCTATCCGGACCCATTCTTTCAAACAGAAATTGCTTCTTTGCTTATACTATTAGGTTGTCCCAAAAGTTCTTGCGCCGGATTTTCAAAAAATCGTAACTTTCTTTTCTTGATCTTAACATTATTTAAGAGGAAATTTTTCTCTTTATAGCAGTAACTTTGCCATCAATTGGCATTGGAAAGTTTGAGAGCTAGAAGCAATTGAACGGAATTACTCAAAATCGGCATTTTTCAAAATGGATCACGAAAAATTTGAGTACTTTTATTTGATAGAGAAAATTTTGCACATTACAATGGTAACCCTCTCAAGAATAGAAAAGCAAAAGATCGAGAGTTAGGAGCAAATAAAGAGAATTCCTTCAGTTTTACAATTTTTGAGCATGCTCAAAAAAGCCTGAAAATGTCACAGAAAATACGAGAAAGTCATGGACATGGGTTTTGTGACCTTCTCTTTCTAGCTGAGTAAGATTCGGGCTAATCGAAAGCAATTTCGATTTTCGTGATTTTCGTGACTTTTTCGCATTCCCAAAATGCGAAAAAGTCACGAAAATCGAAATTCCCAAAATGCGAAAAAATCACGAAAATCGGAATTGCCCTCGATTAGCCCGAATCTTACTCAGCTAGAAAGAGAAGGTCACAAAACCCATGTCCATGACTTTCCCGTATTTTCTGTGACATTCCCAGGCTTTTTGAGCATGCTCAAAAATTGTAAAACTGAACGAATTCTCTTTAATTGCTCCTAACTCTTGATCCTTTTCGTTTCAGTTCATGGGAAAGGTACCACTTCAATGCGCAAAATTTTCTCTATCAAGTAAAAATACTTGCAGAATTTTTCGTGACCCAGCTTGAAAAATGCCGATTTTGAGTAATTTCGTTCAATTGCTTCTAGCTCTCAAACTTTCAAAGCCAATTGATGGCAAAGGAACTGCTGTAAAGAAAAAGGTTTCCTCTTTCGAAGGAAATTAAATTCAAGAGAATCACCGAGTGGCAAGAGAGTTATGATTTTTTGAAAACCCGGCGCAAGAACTTTTGGGACAACCTAATATATTTAGTCCCAACCTCAAAGGAATTAGTGTCAATCTTCTGCCACGTGTCACAAAAAGAATTGGCATTTCGTTTATGTGTTTAACAGGTTTTACCCAGAGTTTGTTGCTCTACCTAGCGACGCATCACGTTTTTTATTCAATAATGACCTCATCTTCGATTAAACAATTTCAGAAATGACATTTTTTGAATTATAACGTCATTCTGTTATAGATGAACAAATTAGACTTGCCCAGAATGGAGAAGTGTGCTTGGTTTCCATCATCTGAGTGGCGAAACAAGCAGCAGCAAGGCACTTCGCGCCGTCATTCATACTCTTCGTGGCTAAATTCGCATGGCCGAAAGAGTTTGGAGGGCAAGATATGTAATCGCAAATGCTCTTTTGCTTCACCCGAAATGATTTCAAAAAAAAACATTCTAAAATGGACCGAAACGTGTCAATTTTTCCCTAATATGGGCAGGGGGGGGGGTCCTCACATAATCTACAGAAAATTATCCCTAGGCTAAAGAACGTCTTTTTTGAAAGCCTTTTGAAAAAATGGGTCCGGATAACGGAAAAGCACTGAAAAACCTTACTCTCTTTGCGCTCGCTTGAGTATCTCTTACTTTCTCTTCGCTCTTTTGAAGACCTCTTTGATTTCTTTCCTCTGCTTTTTTCACTGGAAGAGCTCCTGTTCCTTGGCGTTCGAGGAATTCTTTCCACGCCTAAAATTGACAGAACTGTTTGCCAATTCATGTATAGAATTTGCCGTCGTTTTGCCTGTATGAAGGCAGATTCGAAATGGACTGAAACACACTGCCTTCCTAGATTTTAACAGCCCTTCAATTAAGTCGTCGAACTGCCCAAAAGTTGATCAGTTGCCCCTCAGCTAAGGGTTGTCGGTGTCGCAACGTGCGGCCAAAAAGAGTCATATTCTCTTCATCTACGTTCTACCTACTGCTGGCTTTCCGCTTTACTGCTTTCTTATCATAACTTATAATAACGGGCTAAGGGTGTTTACGTTTTTGTGTGTGTGTGTGTGTGTGTGTGTGTGTGCGTGTGTCTGTCTGTCCGTTACGAAATTCGTAGAGCGTGTTCCAGCCAACGTTCTAAGCCCAAATTTTGCATAGCGCACGCTACCTGCATGAAAGCCCACCATGCAAAAGCATGAGGGGATCCGCTGAGTGGATCCCTCAGAAATTGCGCGCCAAACGGATCCACCTGGCTTCTGTCAAGCAAAATTAGATCCGTATCACCACTTTTTGCAAAGTCGTGGATGTGTTTGACAAGCTAATGTGCAAGCCATGGACATTAACCCAAAAAATTGAACTAAAGTTGATTAGTTTACGAAAATGGCGCCAAAAAGAAAAAGTTGCATAAATGTCCCATTTGCCAAGATTTTACCTGATGGTTTGAGAAGATTTTTGCACAAGGATGTAGTCCACGGTGATTATTGTCGTCGTGGCGACTATCAGGCCATAAATAGTCCAAAACCAATTCAAATACGCATTAATTCTTCTCGGAAAAGTTTCATCCACGCGAAAATACCGATCTCACACAAAAAAGCTCTAGGAATGAGTGGTTGTTTACAAATCATTCGTGATAGCCTGCATGGCTCGGTGAGTTTCACTGTCATTATTATGCGGGAGTGAGTTAGGCATATAGAAAGTAGAGCCAGTGCGAGCCTCTGCGAAGCAGATGTGACGCACTGGTTAATGAAGGAGGCTGTAAGAAAATAGCAGCATACAGTAGCAGTTCTTTAAAGAGTTTCTCGTTTTTCTCGTTCCAAAGATTCGGCCGTTGTACATGATAGTTAGGGTTGAAACTCACAAACAACTGGACAAGAGTATTCAAAAACTACGTACGACAGATGCAGAATTCACAAAAAGGTTTGACGGAATTATTCCAGTCTTATACCCCAGGTGTGAAAAAGGCTTTGTTTATTCAAGGCACATTTCTAGCATATATGGATATCAGGTCCAGCGGTAATCCCCAAAGTCACAACTTAAAGAAGGCGCGGTCGTGACCACCCAAAGCGAGTCACAACTTGGGCACGACGGTGGGTTGGCCGCTCACTGCCGGACCCGCAACGAGCGACATAAACATCGCGCAGCCGCTGCGCTGTAGGGAATGTTTATTTCGGAAGTCTGAGCAAGAGAAAGGTACATAAGGTAGATAGGTAAACCCTCAAGCTAATATGTTGAAGTTAGTAAATAGCCTCACTGAAGCCAAGTCTCGCCTCCAAGTATACATGTAGCTATCACTTTGTGATTGTAAACACTAGACTTTGAATATGGAACAAAACTATCACTGAGCATAGCGCAGTGCCTGTATTGTGCGATTGGGGCAGATCTCTGAAGCACAAGTCACAAGTACGCCAAATGTTTTGCAAAGCAAAATGCATGCAAACGATATACTAAATATATATTGAAAAATATACAAATTTGTGAGACTTTTACTAATTTGGTCTGTACAATTTATGTTACTTCATTAGCTACGACACCCAGTCGTTTCCTTACTCAAATGAAAGGAATCAACTGCTGGTGCACAGATAAGAAAAGCAAAAAAAGAGAAAGTTCGGATTAAAACTGTATAAATTACAAATCACAAAATTAAGGCATGCAGAAAAACAAAACTTGTCTGAAGAGGGCCTGAAGATGCATGTTAATGAAAATCGACTTGCTATGTTCCGATGCAAATAGCAGAAGAAGTTATAGCATGGAAAAAGATTGCTGGTGCGCCTCGCATCTGTGCGCTACCAGCCGTTCAAACTGATTGTATTTGACTGCAGTTTGATTTTTTGCGTGCATCTGCGGACAGTGGGCGGCTCCACCACTCCGGACGTACTTGACCGCTATTCATTTGTCGGCACCACCACCTGCTTGCGTCTTGAAGACCCGCTACTTCCCGATTGTCTGCATGAAGGGCACACTGCCCTTGCTTGTTGGCGGGCGGCGTTACCGCGGCGTTATGCCAGGCACATGTCTCGTCACGTCGCCTCCCTTATATGGGGTGGCAGCAAAAAAGGCATTTGCCGGGTATTTGCCGCGCTTCAAGCGAGTCGTCACGACTCGAGAGGAGTTTACTATAGGCCCAGGAGCTCTCATGTGTTTACTGAAAGGACTGAATGGACATAGCCATTGCCCAAGCTGCAGTCCACCAAAATCACCGTTGAACCTGACTCTGAACTATTTCTCCGTATACTCAAAGCGCTGATTGATTTGCTCAAAAAAATTGTAGTGGTGGCGACAGGTTAGAGCTATTGCTCAGCGCGAATGAACATATAAGCTGTCCCTTGTTCTTACAATTTATTACAGTCTCGCTACAAGTTTTCTTTAGAAACCTGCTAGATGTATTAGATTGGACTTATAATGAGTTTTGCAACTAATCATAACTTTCCCCTAGTTCAAAAGGGCCCACTTGAATTTTGCTATAGGCTATAACTTAAGTACAAGCGAGCTGTTGTTTTGCCAGATGTTGACGTCCAGTGAGGATCACGGTTGGTTACAGTATAAGGGGAAAATTTACAAAGTTTAGTTGGCTTGGCATAGAGGGCCTATCCGACGATTGCGAAAAGATACCGATTACATGGTAAGTGTCGTAGATTACTTACCTAATCTACAACCTTTGTCATTGTAAAGTCATATTGTATGTTATATTCAGTATGTACTGGCTTGTCGTTGACAAAAGTTACTGTTCACTGACCACTCAAGCACCAGGTCACCCATCCACTGTGCTTGATAGTCTACTTGGCGGCGCCTACTTTCATGTAGGCAATCCTTTACTCTGTATGATACTGTTATTTGCCAAAAGTGAGCATTCAGGTTATCCACGCCCAAAATAGTGGCATAAAAGGGCCTGAATACTCAGTTCTGGTGTTGGTTCGAATATTACCACTATCGTCAGCGTCTGTTCCGCATATTTACTATTAATAGTCAGCGGCTGCTCCGCTACTATCGAAGAAACAGTTATTAACGTAGTGGTACCAGCTTGGCCGTGTGAACCGTAGGCCGAATGCACCAAATTGGTGCATTCGGCCTACGGTTCACTTTCTGGCGTTTGTTATCCAGAAAGCTGATAAAGTCCAGCGTGGCAGACATCACTAATTAATTGAACCCTTCTGAGCTCTCTCTTCGTGAGACGACCAGAAGGTAGTAAAAGCGTCAGCTGAGGAAACCACTGGTTAATTGAACCTTTTTGAGCTCTCTTTTCGTAAGACAACCAGAAAGTAGTAAAAGCTCCAGCTGAAGACCTTACCACTGAAATTGAATTCTTCTGTGATCTCTTCTAGTGAGACGACCAGGGGTTAGTAAAGAAAAAACAGTTGGTACACCTTTAATAGTTCACTTAAAAACTATTAAATTACAAGGTCTCCTCAAACTCGCACTGGGCAGGATCCAAACCTAACCAGTCAGCACAGCGTTCAAGCCCATCGGCTCGCTTGCTAACCAACTAGAAGAAGCTACGCACTCCACTGCTAAGCTCAGTAGTGACTAGTTTCTTGCACGGCAAGAAAAAGTCCCACAGAGGTTCAGGCCCAGCCAACCTCCACAGTTCTCGACAGCTGCGCGTACTAAGTACCCAGCCAGAACTCTTTTACAAACAAACACCTGCAGTGCCAAAACGCGCAGCCAATGAGAGCCGCAAGCGATAGAAGTCCATGCACACCAGACAAACAATGACTGAGCTTGCAGGATTTAAAACACGTATCTCAGTAGCTTGCTCTTCATTTAGCAGCCTTCAGAACAAAATCAGGGAGATAGATCAAGCCTTCAACTTTCCAACAACGGCATCGGAATGCAATGCCTTCATCATGGATAAAATGGCAGAAATTGAAGAAGCAGAAATCTCTCTAAAAGGCTTCTCAGAATACCTGGAAGCACAAATTCAAAACGCTATGAACTTTCTCGGACTAAGAAAGGACCAATCAGAAAGAAAAAGGCTTATGACCGATCTTGATGCATTTCTTACTACTGAGGCAAATAGAGTGCAGATGGAAGCTATCAACTGGTTAAATGAGTTGAAATACCGGACGAGGGAACTGGAAAAACAGTCAAGCCTGATTCACGCATTAGCATCGTCCTCGACGCGAACATCAGTGCAGGACACCTACACAGATAGTTGTCTATCAACAAGACAACACGCTGAGAACAAAGTCCGATTACCAGTGCTTGAAGTTCCAACGTTTAATGGAAACTACAAAGACTATCCAACGTTTTGGACGATTTTCGACTCGCTTATCCATAGCAACTCACAGCTCAGCAACACGGATAAGTTCCTATTTTTGAGGCAAGCACTGAAATGATCAGCTGCTTCCATGCTTGGCAACATTCCAGTTATAGGAACAAATTACGAGAAAGCTGTAAAACTTCTCAACAAAAGACACAACAAGTCCGGATGCATAGCTGATCTTCTCATCACAACTCGAAAAACTTCCGCGAGCAAAGGAAGACGCAAGTAGCTGCCGAAAATTGTTAACCGATGTGACTGAGAAGCTCACTCACATTGAGTGTGCGGGAGTCACCTTGGACAACGGGCGAATGTGGAGACGATTGATACTCTCAAAATTTCCGACATCACTCAGCGAAAAGGTGTTCAGCAAAGAGCAAAACGAAGACAAACCGTTTTCTACCGAGGAAATACTAGAGATCCTGGAAAGTGCGGTAGCTCTCAAGGAGATAATCGCTTTTTCAACGGACACATTCCGAACACTCGAGGAGTGCAAAGTCATGGCACGCTCTGATTCCGATCAAGAAGTTGGTGAAAGGCTGAGCTATGTAGAAGACTCGATCGCATACAATTCGAAACATGGCCAAGGAAGTACATCTTCGAGAGATTCGAGTGCTCAATGCATCTGCGGAAGTTATCAACATGATGCGACGAGATGCACAACATTCCAAACAGCAGCAAAGCGACGTGATGAAGCCAGGAAACAAAGGCTATGCTTCAGATGTCTTCAAACCGATCACAGGATTAGGCATTGCACAAGCTCACAGTCCTGCTGCAAGTGCCACGAAAACCACCACACTGCCGTATGCATGGGTAGCTATTCAGCATCTAGAGGCACCTCAACCAGGCGATCGCAGCAACGATCTGCTCGCGATCAACATCTCCCGAGAGACCGTGAATTTGCGCAAATTCTGTAATTCTCCACAACAAGAGCACGAAGCGAAAGGGAGGAATGCAGCACGTATTGATGACGGCGACTGCACTGGCATACGACTACACATCGACCAGCTATAAGCCCGTAACTGTTTTCTTTGATGGCGGTGCACAAAAGAGCTTCATCAAACAAGGAAGACCCGAGCTTTTGGCTTACCAGTGCTGCAAAACAATACTTTCAAGATTGGCGGCTTCGGAGGACCTACCGCACATTTCACATCCAGTGAAGTTCCGCTTACACTGAGAACAACGTCTGCTTGAGTCGCTGTTAAAGCCGTGAAGATACACACAAAGTCAACACTCACTTCCGCGATGAGTACAGCTTGGCTAAGCGCAGAGGATAGAAGGTTGATTCGAAAAAGAAAGATTCGAGTAGCACAACCGGATCTAACGCGACGGATCACACCGGACATTCTCACTGGTCAAGATCTGATCGATCAATTCATCTTGAGGGATCGATCATGTACAATTCTTCCGTCAGGACTTATTCTCACCCCTACTGTTTTCGGTCATGCAATCTACGGAAGCAGTCCAATATATGGAATCAAAATGGAGGAGCATTCGCAGAACACCGCAATCACCATCGCCTCCTACAATCATCCAGTGAGCAAAGGAAACTCAATGAAGCAGAAGCCAGCTAGAAGCGTCGAACAAGCTGAGCGCGAAACTTCCAAACGCCGCGCAAAGAAGCTCAGTCGTCCGTATCCGATGAATATGCTCGCACAGCCTGAGAAGTCATCCACGAAACACGAAAGCTGCCAACGTAACAGCGCATCTCGTGGACAACAGTTCAATCGCAAACGTCGGAAATCAAGGACGCATGGAAAACTTGTGAAGAAAAATACAGATGCTCAACCGGAATGTTTCGCTCAGCGTCGCGGCTGGCCCCGAAGGCCGACCATGGCTCGATGGCCGACTACCGCACGATTCTCAGACGGAGAATACAAGCCGTTGCAGAAATATTGTGATATACGTGACTTAACTATGTTGTGATGAGATGATTTAAAATGTTTTGTAACGTAACGTAAACTTCCGTAATTTATATTTTCTTGCTTTCGCGCCTTCCGTCGCGCGCCCCACTGTCGTAGATTACTTAGCTAATCTACGACCTTTGTTATTGTAAAGTCATATTGTATGTTATATTCAGTATCTGCTGGCTTGTCGTTGACAAAAATTACTGTTCACTGACCACTTAAGCCGCCAGGTCACCCATCCGCTGTGCTTGATACTTGGCGGCGCCTACTTTCATGTAGGCAATCCTTGATTCTGTATGATACTGTTATTTGCCAAAAGTGAGCATTCAGGTTATCCAGGCCCAAAATAGTGGCATAAAAGGTCCTGAATACTCAGTTCTGGTGTTGGTTCGGATAATACCACTATCGTCAGCGGCTGTTCCGCATATTCACTGTTTATAGTCAGCGGCTGCTCCGCTACTATCGAATAAACAGTTATCAACGTAGTGGTACCAGCTTGGTGTACACCAAAGTAAGGGTTTTTGACTAGGTCACTGTATAGGCTGCTCATGACGAAGGCGCGAGCGCAGCTTTATTAGCCGCAAAGCGCATGAGGCACAGGATTTATGACGGTAAAGATACGCGCGCCGCATTCGCGGCCGCTCAACTAATACCGCTTCTGCGCCTTCGTCATGCAATAGCCTTTATGTTTAGCAGTGCGTCACCTCTGTTTCGCAGAGGCTCGCACTGGCTCTCCTATCTATCTATATGCCACGCTCATTCCCGCATAACGTGGCATTGAAACATACCGCACAATGCCCGCCTTAACGAATGATTCGTAAACATCCACTCATTCCTTAAGCTTTTTCGTGTAAGATCGGTATTTTGCGTGGAAGAAACTTTGGAAGATGAAGAACAAATGCAGAATTAGAGCACTTCTAAGTCTTTTCATAGCTTGGTAGTCGCCATAAGGATAATATCCACGGCGAGCTACAATCCTGTGCAAAAATCTTCTTAAATGCTTAGGTAAAAACCTAGTAAATTGACCATATACGCAAATAATTCGTTTTGGTGCCTTTTTCGCTGAGCAATAAACTTCCATCACTTTTTTTGGGCTAAAGATCATGTCTAGCACATTCACTTGTCAAACATAATCACTCTTTGCAAGAAGTGGTAATACCGGCCCAATAATGTGCGCCAGACGTTAAGTGGATCCGTTTGGGGTGCGATTTTTGAGGGACCTACTCAATGGATCTGCTCGTGCTTTGGCATGGTGAATCTGGATGGCGGTAGTGCGTGTTGTGCAAAAAATTGCGGCTTGAAACCTTGTCTGCGACTCGTCTTGTGAATTTCGTTACAGACAGGCACACACAAACACAAAACACGTAAACACCCTTAGCCAGTTATTATAAGTCATGATGGTGTAGGATCCTATCTTGAACAAGAAAAGAGACGTTTTCGCCAAATCGAAGCTAAAGAGAAATAATCACGAAATTGGTCGGTTTAATGAGAAAATTTTTAGCTGAAAATTGAAAAGGTTTTTGCTTAATTACAACCTTTTTGTGATCGTTATCCTTATGACGAATATCAAGCTAACTTGGCTTGAATACAGTGAATTATTCAATCTCGCATTTGTTTTTCTTCACGAGATTTAGTTCCCGATACCGAAAGTGAATAAGCTTTTGGAATGTAGCGTTTATAGTTCGTTCCTGACGCTCGACACTGCGTTGTGAGTTCAAACGTTATACTATGCGTGCGCAAGACCATACAGATAGTAGAACTAGTGCGCCTACAGCGATGCAAAAGTGACGCACTGGTTATCAATAGACTGCGTTTTCTATGTCCGCAAGGTAAAGATTCAAATTGACAGACCTGCCTCCTTTGACGGCACCGTTTTCATGAAATTTGGATCATCAACCTGAAAGAAGCGATGAACGTCAAAGCTCTGGAACTTCATAATTCATGTGTTTGGTAAAAAAAAGAGGTGCTATCTACCGAGCTGGGATTGATCTTGCGTTCACTCCTCTGTTAAGGCAAACTCTACAAATTCTGGTCACTAAGGTGTAGTAAGAGTAAGTAAGATGCCTAGTGTGTCTTAAGCGTACATGAGGATATGCCAGCGCGCAGATTTCGAATGGACGTTTTAACACCATTCTCTTATGTTACACCTACACGTTGTTAAGTTCAAACAGCAAACTTTGGTAACGGGGCAAGTTGATTAGATACACGTGACATTCCTTTCTGTTTCACCTATTTTTTTCTTATCGGAAAGAATCTCATAAAAAGCACGCATCGATGGCGGGGTGATTAATGCAGCTCATGCCAATATGTCTATCATTTGAGTCTTTTTGCAGATTCAAGCTTCCGGCAGTGGGCACCTAAGCCCACAAAGTCGAAAATAAGCGGTCTATCAAAGCAAACCTAGAGTAGTGAACAGGCTACGTATGCCAGGCGGTTTCTCCGAAATTTTCATGTTTGTAGTATAAGTAGAAAGAACTTCTTACAACTAGTCTGGACTAGTCTACGAACTAGCCTCCTTCAGTTCCGCACATCCTCCGTGACCTTCCCACTACCAATTGCATATAAGTCATTGTACTAAGCTTTTCGCTTGGAAGTGAGAAAAGCTGTTTGTAGGATTACCTGACCAACTGGAATATCTTCGAGTTCATCATCTTTCTCCGCCATTGTAGCTCGATATATTTTCAACAGCCAGACTTGATTGACAGTAAGAAAAGAATGATGCATACAGAGCAGTGTTGTTTATGCATAAGGGATTCTGCTGTTAGCCCAATGGAATCATTTTTGCTAAATAGGAGTTCTTTAGTAAGAACAGCGGTGTGCATCGCCGAATCCTGCTAATAAGCAAATTCGGGTTCCTTTGTATCATAGGCAGCAAAATAAATAATCCACACAATTCATCGAGCAAACTCTCACGCTTTCTGCTTAATAAAGTGGGAAGTTTTCTAATATTATATTTATCGTAAAATAAATAAAAATAGTATCAATTGCCATCATCTTCGGGCTCAATTTCAGCTGCTCCTTCGTCTTCTTCAGGTTCGCGCTCGATGCGATGTGTCCTATTATACTCTGCGATATTGTTTGAGGCATAAACAAGTGCCGCCAGATTCACTGGATCTCGACGGAGCTGTTCATCAGAAGAGCTGAGCATTTGGCTGAAAGCATTGGTTTTGATTAGACGTGAATTTGAGCTTTCAATGTTGATACAAAAAATCTCATTACTTTTTCGAGATAGAAAAGATAGTGCATTTGCTTGGAAGAAAATCTCGTACTATTTCCGCTATACTATATTTGTGCAACATCAACAGTATAACCTGTGGCCAGGGTCAAACGTGGGGTGCGGCACGCCACACCTGGGGGGTCGTATTGAGGAGGCAAAGGGGGAGGGGGTCGTAGTTGGGTAATCTAATAATAGTGATAACACGATATTCGTACCCATAATTAGCATGTCAAATAACTCCTCTAGACAAAGTATGAGCGAATTCTGAAGATTCAAGATGCAAGGCTACCTAAGTGAAATGATCAAATTCCAACATGGTTAACTTTGTTTCAAAGGTGAATTAGCCATCCGTTTTTGCACTCAAGACAAAGCACTACTTCTTCTTTGTCCACCTCAAGAATCTCGCTTCCGAAGACCTGCAAACTGTGGAATCAGAAGCCAACCAAAATCTCGTTTTTCCGATTTTTCGCTTTTGATCGCTGTGCATTCACCAAATATTACTCAGAGCTAAGAAGACGAATCAGGCTCCAAACAGTCCTATGGATCTACAAGGTTTAGGCTATCGTTTCATATAAATAGTGTCCGCTAAAAATGTTTTTTTTTGATATAGTTAATGGGGTGCGGCACACCTTCTTAAAAGCTGAGGCGGCCGCAGCGAAAAATGGGAAAAACGAGATTTTGGTTGGCTTCTAATTCCACAGTTTGGAGGTCTTCGGAAGCGGGATTCTTGAGGTGGACAAAGAAGTTGTAGCGCTTTGTCTTGAGTGCAAAAACGGATGGCTAATTCACCTTTGAAACAAAATTAACCATGTTGAATTTGACCATTTCACTTAGGTAGCCTATTATATTGAATCTTCAGGATTCGCTCACACTTTGTCTACAGGGGTTATTTGACATGCTAATTATGGATATGTTGCCCATTATGTTTGACAGGGCCTTCAAGCAATGCTATCTTAAGTGTATAGTTCAGGGGGGGTCGTAACCAGCGATCGTGTGCCACACCCCTTGCTTGACCCTGCCTGTGGCCCAGTGGCGGTCCGAGGGGGGGGCGCCCCCCCCCCCGAGAATGGGTCGCGAAAATTTTGAAACTTACCTATATGGATTATAAAAATGTGCAAACGACTTATTTATTTTTGTAAATAATTAATATAATTTTTAAAATTTTCTAAAAATTCAAATTAGTCTTATAAAAAAAAATTTTTCGGGGGCGTGGCGTTAGCCACGCCCCCTTTTTCCAGATTTTAGGGGTTGGGGGCCCGCAAAAATTTTGGGAAGTACTCCTTAAATTTTTTCGGAGTGCGTGGCTAACGCCACGCACCTTCATTTGAAAAAATTTTTTTCCGCGCCCCCTCTCCCGGTCCGAAATCCTGGGACCGCCACTGCTGTGGCCGTATTCATCATTGATACCTTGAGGTAAACTCTACCTCCAGGTAGTTTTATCACTCATTATCAGCAAAATTACATTAAGAATTTACCTCAAGGTACTTTTGTGAATACGGGTACTTGCTGATAATGAGTGATACTACCTGGAGGTAGAATTTACCTCAAGGTATCAATGATGAATACGGCCACTGGCAACATAAAAATATATGAGTAATCTAACCCGATTTCAGCTTTCAGCCTTCCAGCCTTTCAGCCACAAATTTGAGCTCTTTTTTTACGAAGAGTTGAAGAGAAAATTTGGTAAGCAACTAAGAAGTCTTAACATCATACATTATCATCACTTAACATTATAGCGCTTAGACCGTCTGTCAGTTTGTCTGTCTGTGTGTATATATCCGTCTGTCACATTATCCATAGAGCGGGTTGCAGCGAACATCCCGAGCCAGAAATTTGTACAACGCATGTCACCGGCATGTATGCCCATACAAAAGCACGAGCGGATTCGCTGCGGAACCTACGCTGCACATCAAACAGGTCCACGCGAGTTTTGGCGCGCAAAACCGGAGTCGTATTTGGACTTTCCACAAATTTAAGAATAATTTGACATATACATCTATAAGCCATTAACTTTAGCCCAAGAAAGTGATGAAAAGTCTATTACTTTACGAACACGGCGCCAAAAAGGAGCTGCGTTAATGTTAAATTTGCCAGATTTTATCTATCTAATCCAGAAGATTGCACATAAATGTAGCCCACGATGATTATTGTCGTTAAGGCGACTATCAAGCCATGAAAAGCCAGGGACCGATTCAAATTTGCATTTGTTCTTCTGAGATAATTCTTTCCACGTAAAACTATCGACCTTACAAAAAGCTTTAAAGATGAGTAGTTGTTTAGGGATCATTCTTGATAGTCTGCAATAGCACAGCGAGTTTCACTGACATTATTGCGGGAATGAGCATCCATACAGATACTAGGGCCAGAGTGAGCCTCTGCGAAGCAGAGTTGACACAGTGGTACATTATATGACGGTAATCTAGAGCTTGCAGCAATATGATTCGAAAACTGTGAATTTACCCTTACATAGTGATAACAGTAGTGTAACCAAAAGATTCGGGGACTTCCGCAAACAAATTAACAAGAAAAGCTTGAATATCTCGTAGTATGAGCTTGAGCCGTGGCGGTCCCAGGATTTCGTGGTGTTTGCCATGCACTCCAAAAAAATTTTTGGGATGTTTCTCAGATTTTTACGGGCCCTTTACCCCCAAAATCTAGAAGAAGGAGCGTGGCGCCAAGGATAATTTGAACTTTTAGGAAATTTTAAATTATAAATTGCTTACAAAAACAAACACGTCACTTGCATATTTTAATGATCCATTTGAGTAAATTCAAAAATTTCGCGAACGTCTCGGGGGGGGGGGGTCCAAGTCACCCTCTCCCCCTCGGTGCGCCATTGGTTTGAGCCGATTCCTTCAAGCCACTAGCAATATTCATAGCTTCCTAGTATCCAGAAGCAGTTGCTGATAATTGATTTTGATTAAAAGGAATCATGTACTTTGTAGCAGCCAGAAAAATTGATGAAACCTGCATCATTGGCGGTACTGAGTTGAAAAGCTATTTTCGACGATACATTTTCAAAAGTCATCTTGGGTAATCTACTCCGCTTTGACTTCTGGCATTTATGCTCAGTAAAAAGTGGTGTAGGTGCTGATTTACTCTTCATAGAGCAAACAAGCTCCCTCATGTGAAAGTTGTGAGGTTTTTGAAAAACAGAAAAACATTCTATTCAACCTGATATGATACTATGTAGTTCTGTTACTGAAACATCGGTTTTCAGTAAATGATGCTATCGCCGCAATCAAAACCTACTTGATTATGTTGTTCGCAACCAGTACGTTATCGACTAATTCGTTGTCCTGTTGGCGGTTTGGATTTGCAAGCATGGCCACATTTGCCGGTGAGATCTGTCCTAGTCTGGTTAGTAATTCCTGTAAAGGTTTGACTGGCCTAAATCAGCATTTAAAGAGATGGACGACTGACAGTAATGGATGATGCCATAGGGAATGTTTGTACGCGTTGAAGAAGGCGAGTGATGTTGGCAACTACCTCGCTCAGCACAATAGTTCGCATCGTTCCCTAAACAACAATTAAAAAGCAAATAAAACAGATAAGTCGAAGAGTCTCAAAATTTTATTGGTTGGAATTCGCAAGACAACAACACAAAACCGAAACGCTTTTGATGCAGCTTTGCTTTTTTAGAGCTAGACTAGATCTAGAATCTTCAATTAACACTCAAATGTTTACAGATTGCAATTTGTCATTCTTGGTTGATAATTCTTGATAATTCTCCTTAAGTTTCAGTTTTCATATGGTTTTTGCTATCTCAACAAGTAACCATAGAGCTAAATCTATGCTCTTTGCAGGGCATCTTTAAAAATATATAAACTCATTAAGTTTCTAATAATGATTCGGAAAATTTGGAAAATTCGCTGTTTAGGTTATCACAGAGCTGTGTATAGACAATCGTTGATTGAATTTGCTAACAACTCGTCATATGGCATTATGAACGCCTACAGTGGTCAAGAAAAATAGTAAACTTCAGATAATTCAGCGCGACATTTATCTAGGAAAATGTAAACGGCAGCTGGGTGCAAGCAGATTTGAAGACTCTTCTTCTAATTAACTGCGGCAATCTCGCACCAGAACAGGTGAAAACTGCAAGAATTCATGTTCTTCCTATTCTAGATTTTGGGCACCATTCCTTAAGACAACCAAAATGATCTAAAAATCCGAAAAATCGAGAAAAAATCGTAACGCATCAAATGTGGCACTAAATTTCTAACCTGTTCACGCATATGAACACATTTCATATCAAACATTTATATGCAGTTGACGTATTTTTCGACTCCCTAAACGCCGAAAAACGAAAATTTTTTCTGCAAAAGTAGTGAGCATTGCCCACACAACTTTCAAATATACAGCCGAAGCTTTTTGCAGCAGTTGGTTTTGAGAATTATCGAAATTGGTATACAAAACCCAAATGGGAGAGCTAGATTTGTTGAGTTTGATTCATTTCTGGAAGACTAGTTGTAACATAAGGCTAAAAATCTACGTTGCAAGTCAAAGGCTTATAGTACAGTACCAACACTGCCGCCTTAAAATCCTACGATATAAACGCGCTGTCGCGCCGGAAGTGCCGCATCGCGATAGCTCGCTTTAACTTTAATCAATCGGATTCTAGTTTAAATATTTGGAATCAGCGCCCTCTGATCCATCTGAAAGTGTACTAAAAATTTCCAGATCTCGTTATCAAAGATCTTTTTTTGAGACCTCCGGCGAAATAAACGCATCGTCGCGTTGGTATCGCCGCACCGCCATAACTCTCTTCAGCTTGAATCTTACAGATTCTAATTTAGATATTTGGAATCGGCGTCCCTTAAGCTACCTGAATAAGCTTTTAAAAATTTTGAAATCTTGCTTTCAAGCTTTTTTGGCTCTATGCCAGCGGCGTTCTAAACGCAATGTCGCGCAGAAAGTGCCGACTAATGTAACTCGGCTCGAAGTCCTTTAATCAAAATTTCGATGAAATATTTGAAACCGGCATCTTTTCGTTCGCTCATGAGTTCACTCAGACTTTGCTTTTTCTCTTGTCTTGGCTCTTTTTTGAATTATCAACGGCGATACAAACGGCATGTCGCGTTGAAAAAGCCGGATTGGTGTAGATTTCTTCTCGTTTTTCGTATCAAATTTTAAATTTGATATTTGGAACCAGTAAGCTCTAAGCTACTCGAGAATGTTTCAATAGTCTGCAAAATCCCAAATTCTGTTTTCCAGATTTTTTTGGTCCCTCATAGTGCCCTAATTAACCAGACTGGCTCCCTCTTGAGCCCGTTGACCCCACAATATCGATTTTTCTTCAAAATCTCACCAATTTGATGACATAAATAGAAAGTGAGATGGATACAAAGACCTTAACACCTTGATAGAATTTATTCCAATTTGGAATGAAATCATTTCTGAACTATTTGAAAGTGCACTTGAAAAAATTTCCAAATTTTCAAGTTTCGCGAATTTTGGAAAATTGCCTAAGTTATTGGGTACTCAGGATGTAGACGTCAGATCTAATTCAATCAGTTTGTTCTCATCCGAATACTGACTACTTTGCTCAGTAAACCATAGATTGACTTCACTAACTTCAGTTTGAAAAATGGAAAATTTGCACAATCTCTATCAAATTACAAGTTCCCGGCAACATTTGATGGTGAGAAGTAAGTTGTATAACTTTTTAAGAAGTGTGTAGCCACCCGACTGCTCTTCAGGCCTTCTATCGATTTGTAATTATGGATTCTAGCACTATGATCTGTGACTAGAGATTTACTAGATTTTCCGAATTTGCAAGTTTTGCGAAGATCGCATCGAAAACTAGGCTACCAAAGAAACAAATTTTCTGCTTTACAAATGAAGAAACCCTCTGATTTCAAAAACTTTCTTTGAAGGGTCTTCAAGGAATAGGGCAAATAGAATTTTTGACTTTTCAGAAACTGTAGAAAATTCTAAATTTATGTGAAAAAGCTGTACATGAAGTCTGGACAAAGATTCTAAAGGGCAGCCTGATACACTTAAATAACTTCTGAAACTAAAGTGTGACATCGGGGCTACCAGAGCAAGAGGCTGAATTCGCTCACTTCCTCAGAATATCACAGGATCTTTATAGAGCTTAAAAACATCCCAAAAATAAGGAAAATGACCTTAAAGAGTTGTTGATTACAGCTCTAAGATAATTTACATCTGAGAATATCGGAGTAAATGAAATGCTCCAGGCAGCGTATAATCACGAGGTCAGCATCGTTCTCCATTGAGCAACGCTTACAAGAACTAGGACACAATTTTCGCACCCAACGACGCGATGGATCGAAGAAAGTGATTTTCCAGCGGTCAAAAACGTTGTCTCAAAACATGACATATCTTCAGGAGAATCTTCAACATTTTCCATTTTATCGTTCTGACTGCTCAGAAGCAGACTGTCGTCTCAGAAAATCAAAAGAATTGCTAGCACTCCTGTTCAAAAATTAATGATTTCAAAAAACTCTGGTTTTTATGTCGCAATGAATTGGAATGAGTATAAAGAGCTTTTCAACAACTTCCATAGCTTCTTATGGGTTTCATATAGTAGAAGTCTGGAATTACGACTCTTACATCTTTTCTTCATATAGCATTTTCGAATTTTTCTTGAACATACTGCTACTCTCTTAACATCTTGAAAAATTTTAAATCCGTAGTGTTTGGTCAGATTCTCTCTTTATGACTTTTGAAGTACTGGTGAGCAATTCATCTAGAAAATTCATAAAATTTGAACTTCTCAGCCGGCTATAAAAACAATGTCAACATTCTTCCTGAAAAATATTCAAACTGGAAACCGGTAGAGGGATTCTACCATTTTAGAAAAAGGGTTTATGCATCTTGACATCCTAATTAGCACTGTTTTTCTCCGCGCTCAATTCACTTTGAAGTTTCGAAAATTCTGGATCGATGTCGAAAAATTACGGTTCCATTAGGTTCTCTAATTTACTCTGATTTCTCAGCCTGCGAGTTCAAAGTCAGTGAAATTTACGGACTCCGAGTGCTTCATACTCTCAGTGTTGAAGCTCTCGAATTCTCATATCGTAAGCTATCTGAGAATTTCCTCTAAGGAAGTGTTGATTACAACTCTAAGATAATTTTTTGCAAATTTTCCATTTTTCAAACTGAAGTTAGTGAAGTCAATCTATGGTTTACTGAGCAAAGTAGTCAGTATTCGGATGAGAACAAACTGATTGAATTAGATCTGACGTCTACAAATTCCTGAAGTACCCAATAACTTAGGCAATTTTCCAAAATTCGCGAAACTTGAAAATTTGGAAATTTTTTCAAGTGCACTTTCAAATAGTTCAGAAATGATTTCATTCCAAATTGGAATAAATTCTATCAAGGTGTTAAGGTCTTTGTATCCATCTCACTTTCTATTTATGTCATCAAATTGGTGAGATTTTGAAGAAAAATCGATATTGTGGGGTCAACGGGCTCAAGAGGGAGCCAGACTGGTTAATTAGGGCACTATGAGGGACCAAAAAAAATCTGGAAAACAGAATTTGGGATTTTGCAGACTATTGAAACATTCTCGAGTAGCTTAGAGCTTACTGGTTCCAAATATCAAATTTAAAATTTGATACGAAAAACGAGAAGAAATCTACACCAATCCGGCTTTTTCAACGCGACATGCCGTTTGTATCGCCGTTGATAATTCAAAAAAGAGCCAAGACAAGAGAAAAAGCAAAGTCTGAGTGAACTCATGAGCGAACGAAAAGATGCCGGTTTCAAATATTTCATCGAAATTTTGATTAAAGGACTTCGAGCCGAGTTACATTAGTCGGCACTTTCTGCGCGACATTGCGTTTAGAACGCCGCTGGCATAGAGCCAAAAAAGCTTGAAAGCAAGATTTCAAAATTTTTAAAAGCTTATTCAGGTAGCTTAAGGGACGCCGATTCCAAATATCTAAATTAGAATCTGTAAGATTCAAGCTGAAGAGAGTTATGGCGGTGCGGCGATACCAACGCGACGATGCGTTTATTTCGCCGGAGGTCTCAAAAAAAGATCTTTGATAACGAGATCTGGAAATTTTTAAGTACACTTTCAGATGGATCAGAGGGCGCTGATTCCAAATATTTAAACTAGAATCCGATTGATTAAAGTTAAAGCGAGCTATCGCGATGCAGCACTTCCGGCGCGACAGCGCGTTTATATCGTAGGATTTCAAGGCGGCAGTGTTGGTACTGTATACGGTGTGGTGTGGGCACACCTCAGCGTCACTCTGGCGAAAGCAAGAAAATTTTCATTTTCTCGATTCTCACTAAGGTAGATTTATATACGAATGTTTGGCGTAAAGGGAGGGTTGTCTTTTCATTCTCTGCGTAAGCTGCAGGGCCGCAGGGCCTTTTATTGGGCAAGTTCCGTTTTTTATCGATTTTCGGTCACTTAGACCTTTCCAGTCTTTGGCTTCAAAGTTAGCGGCGATCGAAGTTGGTGAAAATCTATGAGTTTTCTCTTGGAGCTTGGCTTGGTCTATGGAACGATATCCCTGAACCCCTTGAACATAGAAAAGTAACTTGCCTCTTCAAATTATTTCTATGCAAGACATATATTTCAACCTAATACATCTCACTCTTAGATATCTACTGGGTAACGTTAGGGTGCATAAGCCAGCAACTAGAGTTCTTTGCACGTCTTATATGTTCTATTGGAGTGTTTCAACTAATTCGACATACTCTCACGTTTAAGGTTGATATGGAAGGCAGTCCACTCCCCACATCGAAATTGTCCAAATTGCCGCTGCCCATATCTCCACTGATATCTATCTCATACTCTTCTCTAGGCTCTGGTTTGTAAGGAATCCTCGCCTTTACACCCGCTGCCACCAATATCGTCATTACAACCACTGCTTTAAACATTCTAAAATAAAATGCTGTGAATAGAGAATGTAGGTATGGGACATAGACCTTGAAAACACATAATCCCATGATAGGGAAGTCTTAGAACAGTGCCAAGAGATATTAAAGTAAGAAGAGGAAGTGAAGTAGGAACAAATACTAGAGAACTGCGAAAATATGTGCGTGGAGGTGTGATGATTTTCTCTAAACTTTGAGCGCACCAACCCGCATGGACAGATTGTAAAAACAGTTGTTTATCGTGGTCGTGGTAGTCTTCTTATATGATTCATCGCTGTTCACGCTTACAACATTCGCAAATATTTTCAAGCTGAGCACACATATGTGTACGTAAAATGAGTTGTTTGCGTCGAAGACAATAGACAATATAGGCTGAAAAAAAAACGTAACCATCATAAACTGCACTGTTATCCAGAAAACACACAAATTTTTCGTTGATGGAAAAACTAGTAAAAAGTTCGAATTTCCAAGTTGACTTACAAAAAAAAACTATAGTGGGCGAAAACAACATGTGCATGACTAAAGTTATAAACAAGGCGCTGTTCGCTTTATATCGGAACTAGTTACGCTAAGTATTCGATTCGCATCTAAAGAGATAGGGATCAAAGATTCGGTAGTAATTTGATTACGGAACATTTCGAAATGACATATAAAAATCAGTTTGATGCAAGTTCTGTCGCATCATTCTTGAAAAATCATAACTTCTTGCTTTCAACGGATGCACAAGTTTAATTTTATTAATAGAGGAAACCATTTTCTTTGTGATAGTTCCCTAATAAGGGGTAGCTTTTGAGATGGACGCAGGAGAATAGAATTACTTCAACTTCTGTCATTTTGGGTTAGGTGCTAAAAATCTGAAACCTGCGGTAAAATTCCGAGCAAGCAGTATAGTAGGTTTTTTGATACACAGTTTCCTACACTGCAGAGCTTGTGTAAAAGAGTATCTTTGTGAAGAGCTATGATGGGTAAGCAATACAACACAGCGGACTTGATTTTTGGCATTTTTTCGAAAATCATAACTCTCTACAGAAATACTCATTTGACACAAACTCTGCAGTGCTGGAGAGTGTGGATCAGATATGCTGCTTGTTCGGAATTTTATCGCAAATTTCAGATTTTAGCAGCCTAACATTAAATGATGAAGTTGAAATAAATTTATTCTCTTGCTTCCATCTCAAAAGCTACCCCTTATTAGATAGCAGCAAAGGCACTGCACAAGGAGAAGGGTTTACTCTATCGAGCAAAATTAAGTTTGTGCAAATCCGTTGAAAGAGCAAAAAGTTATGATTTTTCGAGAATGATGCGACAAAACTTTTGCATCAACCTCTTACTACGCACTGCAGAGTCGGAGAGTTTGTATGGCATTGTAGTGTGGAGATTTGCAATGTATGTAGATTGATGTGAATATGCGCATGGTAATCTTCCAGAGTATTCTCATGCAGATTACGAGTAACATCCTGTTTTGTTCACATCACATCCTGACAATTGTCACTGGGGGTATTTAGATTCGTCGTGAGTAGTTCGAATTTGGAAAATTCGAAAGAAATTGTAAATATTTTAATTTATCTGAAGTATGCCGCCGTGATGGTGATGTCTGCAAAGGTTGCGAGAGGAGGCTCCGAACTATTCGTTGCAAAAATAATTAGTAGATTGCGCAAAAGCTTGGACTTGGGATTCTTTCAGTCATGCAGCAAAGCAGAAAGCGTAGGACACGGAACAGTGTTCAATGCTATAAAATCTATTTGCAAACATCTTTCCAGCGTTTACAGTTTGACTCAAAATTATTATGCGCATAGTCTAATGTCAGAAAATTTATTTCTGACCATTTTGCTAGCAAATAACTTGCAATGGAGTAAAGCTTCAGGTTTTTGTTGCGAAGCGAGATACTGAGCCGTTGATAGCCTCACATGCGTAACTGTACAATGTACAGGCTACTTCCAATGCAGATCTTTTTGCGATCTTTTTGCCGTGACAAAGTGAGAGGGCTGTAATCAGTCGCTCTGCGTAAGTTTTTTTTGAGGGAGGAAGAGGAAAGAGTGAAGCAATAACGACCCCTCCAAAATTTTTTTTGCGAACGGTTTCAGACTTTTCTGCAGTCATCGACACTGCCCAGCCTTCATTTACACAGTGACTATAAAATTTGCAATTTGCTTGCTTTCTGCTCAACCTTGAGGGGGGGGGGGATACGCGTCCGGTAAACAGGTCCTGAAAACAGTATTTTTTCTTTATAAAAACAAGGCTTTCCAGTGCTTAAGAATAATAGAGAAAACCAGTATTGCTGGAAATTCTTTGGTGTATTACCATCTTCATAAGAACTCGACTTTTTTAGTTTTACGCTAAAATTTCAGAGATGTTCGCATTTAAGTACACAGGGACTTAGCCTTAGCTAGCCAAGAAAAATATGGATAGCCTTCAAATATGTGATAATGGCGACGGTTTATGCGAACGCATTCTCTAAACTGCTCTTCTTTGGCTTTTGTCTGCATGTCCATACCTGCACCTTTCAACTTCTCCTGCATTTTCGACACCAGCATTCTCTTGGTCTCTTAATAAAGCCAGAGCGCACCATCACTGTCGAGCAGCTACTTTCAGAGCATCAGACCTGCAAGTGTTTTTATTGTTACCTTATTTCTACTTTATTTCAATGTATTAGGTTGTCAAGAAAATAATGTCGGTTTTTATTTGCTTGCTTTAACAAAGCAACCAAACTCAACCCAGCAAAGGGTAAGGGGTACTGTTCGATAGAGCAAAGCAAGCTCTACAAGATGGCACTCATGTCTTTGCGCCATGCTCGATCCACGGAGAGTTTGAACTCAAAATCTAAAAATTTCAAAATGCCCAAAAAATCGAAAAAAATCAGATTTTCGTCCAAATAATTTCTACGGACCTCCCACTCGCTCACATCAATACTATTGATATCTGATACCCATATGTGCGATTGCCGTATTTTTTCCTTAACTAGAAACTGAGAAAACGATAATTTCCCTGATTTTCTTAAAGCAGTGCTGAGCCGTTTTTGCATATGCAGTTCTATACTACAAGCCTAGGTAAGTATAACTGTAGATTTTCAGCCCATTCCAAGCGGTAGTTTTCGAAAAATAACGAATTCGGATTTTTTCGTTTCAGTTTCAGTGCTAAAATCCACATTTCTCGAAAAGTACCGCTCGAAATAGGCTGAAAACCTATAGTTATGCTTACCTAGGCTTGTAGTATAGAACTACATATGCAAAAACGGCTCAGCATTGCTTTGAGAAAATCAGGGATATTTTCGTTTTCTCGGTTCTAGTCAAGGAAAAAATACGGCAATCGCACATATGGATATCAGATATCGATAGTATTGATGTGTGCGAGTGGGAGGTCCGTAGAAATTGTTTGGACGAAGATCTGATTTTTTCGATTTTTTGGGCATTTTGAAATCTTTAGATTTTGAGTTCAAACTCTCCGTGGATCGAGCATGGCGCAAAGACATGAGTGCCGTCCTGTAGAGCTTGCTTTGCCCTATCGAATAGTACCCCTTACCCTTTGTTGGGTTGAGTCTGGTTGTTTTGTTAAAGCAAGCAAGTAAAAACCGACATTATTTTTTTGACAACCTAATGTTATACAATTAGTCTCATGTTGTAAGTTTCCGTTCGAGTGCAACCACTGAAAATAGTTGCCATCCACCCATCCAAGCAGAAGTGTGCCCAGCATTCGGTATTTCTGCCCACATAAGAATGGATCCATTCATTTTGCACCAAGAATCTAGTTCATCTTCGATCTTTGTCTGGAAGAGGTGCTCAGTTCAACGTTGCACATAAGTAATTATAAGTTGAATTAATTGAGCTATAGAAATATTAACGAACAAGTAAAAATGGACCTCTCATTCTCTCTAGAGAGAGAATTTGACAGCTCGAAATTTTAGGTAACAGTTTCACCCTCGAGCATATCGGGATCAGTGTCCAACAGAAGGCTCTTCAGCGATAGGTCCACTTTGGGAAAAGGCCAAGATGATATCTAATTGTAAGTCAGGCAACAATTACAAGAGCCCTATCACATTACATGCGCACTAGACAGTATCTACTCAAAGCTAGCATAAAAGGACTGTCTTTTTCTATTCATTTCAGATCAGTATTATCTCTGTTAGTGCCACAAGATAGTATTACTTGAAATTCGATTAATGCTTAAGCATGAGTTTCTGATTTCACGGAAATTTGACTCGAGAATCTTTGGAAAGAAAAAAACATCTTCACTTATCAGCTGCCATGGCGGAGAAGGTCTTATGACTCTCTTTTATGTGGATTTAATCAAAATGCCGCAGTAATATTCCAAACTCCGCGATGGAACTCGGAATACGACTGTTCCAAATGTCTCACGTGGCTGGCGGAGATTCATACAGAAAGCGTACTCACGACCAGCACAGACAAGTCCTTACGAAGTGAAAAACCTTAGTGCTTTGGTGCGGAAGCGTCACGTTATGGGTTGAGCAGTAAGGTGAAATCCTAGCTTTTGATTTATCGATGAATTTAGCCACCTTTTTCTTTAACTTGTTGTCTCCTTGCAGTTCTCTTCGACACATTATGTGCATTCTTCCACTTTATATCACCATGACATGATGTAGAATTAGTACGTTACGAACTTATAGTGAGGAATTAAAGGTTGCTTGATTTTCTTGTGTTTCAACCGCTAATTCAACAATGTTAGAAGCGACGTATTTCACTTCCCCTCATGGTGTCGTCATACCACATAATGCAAAATAGGACCAATTCTAAATATCTGGATAGCATAATGCTTATGATAATTCAAAGTTTTGTATAATGCTTCGATGTTCTGATCGTAAAGAATAGAAATTTTTCGCTTACAATTAGCCTGCTCAAAACTTCTTTTTGATCAATTGCATTGTAAAACCTTGCGTAATAAAGAGATAAAAAGTAATTTTTCTTATGCACTCTCTGTAAGACAACCTTTCTTTTGTCTCACTTCGGCTATAGCGTTCATAAATTATTGGCTTGTCTGTGGTTGCAGAG